TGCTTAGCCGCGTCGCCTACGGAACGCAGGAGGTCGTCCCTCTCTATGGTTTTGTCGCCTTGCTCGCGTTTTCTTCGATGGCGCTTCTCGGAATGCTCGAGCCACTTCGTCGGGCCATGTACGAGGTGTTTTACTTCCACCACCGGGCCTTTTCGATCATTGGCCTCGTTACCGTGCTGCTCCACAGCCGCACCGTGGCCTACAGCCTCGCACTGCCGCTGGCACTGTACGTCTGGACACTGCTTTGGCGGAGTCGTGCCTACTGGACGACGGCGGACGCGACCGTGTGCGACGCGTCACTGAGCCGCCGCACCGTTGTGCTCGTACTGCCGTTTACGCCCACGTCCAAGCAGTTTGCCGCAACGATGTCGCCGGGCGCGTACTTTTTTCTTCAAGTGCCGAGTATCTCGGGCGTCGAGTGGCATCCGTTTTCGGGGATTGTGACGCCGGACGGCAACTCGGTCGGGTTTTGCCTCAAATCGCAGTCACCAGCTTCGTTTGTGCACAGAGTGCTTTGCAGTAACACGCGCGTCCTTCGCGTTCGACTGGGCGGTCCCTACGGCCGCATCGCGCTCCCCTGGAATGCTCTGGACGTTGTTGTTTTGGTTGCCGGTGGAGTCGGTATCACACCGCTCCTCAATATCATCAACCAACGCCGCCAGAAAGCCAAGAGTCGCATGAGCCTGCGCGCGCCGCAGCTGCACTTGCACTGGATCGTGCCAACGCCCGACGACCTCCTCTGCGCCGACCGCCTCATGTTTCCGATGCTGCCGGACGTTCAGTGTCACTACTATGCCACCCGCGCGACGTCCGACGGTGTCGTCTCGAGCGCCTACGGCGGTGACGTGGCGTACGTGGCCAAACGCCCGGCGATGCAGGACGTCCTCGCACTTGATCCGTTCGAGTCGCCGCGCGTCGGCGTCGTAGCGTGCGGACCCCAATCGCTCGTCGATGACGCACAGTACGAAGCGGCACTGCGTGGCTTCAGCTTTCACAAGGAGCTCTTTGCCCTCGCGTGAGATGCACCGACGGAGTGGTTGCCTCGATCTAAATACACGAGGCGCGTATCAGCTGTTTTAATGTGGTCAACAGCGAGCGTATTTTACAAAGCTCTGTCGCCGAAGGAGGAGTTGGGCGTGACTGGAACGCGCTCAAGAAGACTCAGATATATCCTTTGCAGCAGCAAGGCTAGAGCTCAGGCGAGAGCGCAGGTATCGTGCACTTGACATCAACCAGATGTTGTTGTTGAAGTGAGTCTATTGAGATATGATTGTTTCTACCTGTCAACAACTATAAACTCCGAGAAGTGGTGTGCTGAGCCTCTCAGAATCTATGTCGGGGAAAACATCAACCAGATGTCCTGACGTGGAAAGAAGGAACAACGTTACGAAATTGCATGGAAATTGCCAAGGGACGGAATCTTGGCTCCTGCTCAAAATGGACGGGCTTCTCAAGTATACCACCACTGAGGTAGCGCGATCCGTCCAATGGCCTTCAACTCGTGGTGAAGGTGCCAAGGTGTCTTGGATACCTGATGAATGCATTTCAGATGCTTCGGCTCGTGGCCTCCGGCGTCCTCTATCGTCAGCGTCTTGAAACCAGCAACTTGATGATGCAATGTTTCGCTGCGACTAAACTAGCATAATTGATCTATATTTGCTGTACCACCATGTCCAGAGGCCGGTGGGGCCTGACCCGAATCACCACGAAACCCATAAGAAGGTAAACGGGTTAAACGTAATACGTTGGATGACAATCAATGAGGCCCTACTTGACCCAAAACGAGGTGCATCCTCAACACCAAGACGACACCTCGGGCCAAGACAATACAACCTTGGTCAAGACCGTTCAGGAACCGTTGTCTTTACAGTCCTTTGTTCCCGGCGCGGGAACAGAGTGCTCGACAATGTGAGTGGCACTTGACACAGTGGGATGGGCTTGCGTGATGGTGTATGCGGTCGCTCCGACCACAAGCCATCTCGTGCTTCCGTTTCCGGCAAGCTGTGTCTGTCGGTACTATATGTGCAAATAATGATGCGACGGATGCGAAGGATTGTCGTCTAGGTGCAGACACCATGTCGCAAGGCTAAGGGGTCCAACGTTTCACGTAGTTCAACGACAGGTTAAATGCGTCGTACCCGAAGGAAACGTGTACGTGGCAAATCTCGCTCAGGTCGCAGAAAGCATGCAGCGTCGGACCGACCGCCGAGTCACACGGAACCAAAGTGAACCGGCGCGGGCAACTGTAATTTCATTTCAGATTGTACCATGCGCTGCGCACTGTGCCTACTTGCAATGTTGACGGCAACGACAACAGCCGCGCTCAACGCCACGATCTGCGAGTCGCTCGCCTTTGCGAATGCACCTGTCGTCTTCATGGGCCGCACGCCCATGGGCCTCAAGAGCCTCGTGCAAGGTGACGTTGTCTGCTTCCAAGTGACGCTCAACGACGTATCGGCCAAGTGGGTCTCGATGGCGATCTCACCAACCGCCAAGATGGTCAACGACCCCGTCAACAACGTGGTCATCTACGACGTGACGCGGCC